GAGAGATGAGGAAAACAGAGCTCTGTTGTTTCCCAGATCTCCATCTTTAGAGAGTTGATGCCCCGACTGATCTCTGAAACAAACACGTTTATATAGCTCATACTATGACGCTCTTCTGTACCTCTAGCACCTCCTTTTTAATTCTCAGGTCAGCATCAATGTCCCATCTTTAATTCTTTGACAGCCAAATGACATATTCCTGATTTTCCTGCAACTCTGCACCACTTGATATCACTCTCACATTTCTACTTTGATTCTTGACCCACCTATTATCCTTTCAGTTAATTTAATCAATGTAAATGTTTATCATTAAAAAAAATGAAAGACAGCTTGTTGTTTTTACCTCCTATTTTTGTACTTTTCCCAATTTGAATGCACAACTGAGCTGTCTCAGCTGTGTGAAACTTTTCTGTCTGAGCGTGACCTTTGACCTCCCCACACCTGCAGGGGTAGGGGTGACACACTGGGAGAGGGGAAGCAGTTTTCTTCTGACAGTTTTCCCTCACCATGGGCATGAATCCATGAGTCTGTGTGTGTTTGGATGAACTACTAAAGAGTAGCAAAATACTTCAAGGTTCAAGGCCCCACCAGATACGCCGTCAGCCATTTTGAAGACATCAAGTCCTCATCTGAGCTCTTCAGAACACCAACGATTTAAAATATTGCGTTTGTAATGCTCAGACTGAAGGGGCAACATTTGCAGCCACCACTTCTAAGTAAATATCTCCGTGAGAGGAAAGGGTCGGTGATCAAGTTGAATCAGCTCAATCAACTCAATCAATTCAAAGTTTGACCTGATGGTGGCGCCACAGGAAAGCCCCAAATGTCCCAAATTCTCTGGACACCAGGTCTTTAACACTATAATGCCATATGTGTAATATTTGATTCACACAGTGTCTGAAATCTTCTGCCTCTGAGACCTTTTGCATAATTTAGTATCAAAAACTTCGCTCAAAACCCTGTCGTACCCAATCAGATATCCCTGAAAACAGCCGACAGAAGACTGCACGACATTCATTTTGAGTTATGAAACGGTAATAAATTATGAATGTTGAAATATCATTTCTGCTTTTATTCATATTTTGTTAAAGATGAAGACTTCAATAAAAATGCTTAAATGTTACATTTGATTGTTGAATTTTCTATTTAATATTTTTTCTTGGATCAGGCTTTAAAGGGTTTAAATCAGTTTCTGGAAGGAAAAAAGGGGAGTTTTGTCAAAGTAAGATGCACCTTGTTAAGGGTCTGCTCTGAGCAGAGCGATTATTATTTTAAGACTTATTGTAAACAAAAACTAGACATTTTTGTGTCATGACCCCTGTCGCCTTTATCTGTAGGATTCTGAACTCCACTCTCTCTCACCTCTCTCGACAAACCATCACCTCATTTCATATCTCCTTGACTTTTATTTTGACAGCAAATCTTTTTTCACATGATTGTCAACTTGTAAATTACAACAATGATGAAAATAACATTTATTGCAACACCTAAAAAGAATATCACAAATTTCTTTCTCATAAAAATAAATGCGAGATTAAATGGGCAGCATGGGGTTTGGCACCTCCTTCAGGAGGTTTTTTAGTGGAATCTTAGGGGACTCTTTGTAGTGTTTGTGTGTTTTCCATGCTGTGGACGCATCATTTCTAGGAATAACCGGATTATCAGAATATCACATTTTCAACAGTCCAAACGACACATAATAAATATTTATGTCCTTGTTTTTCTTTCAATACAAGGGTGAAATATATCTAAATAAATCAATAAATAAGCATGCATGTTTCCATATAAACTGTTCTGCAGAGTAGTATTTTCACGATAACAATAATGATATTGATAATAACAATATTAGCAATAAGAAGATGAAGAAAAAGAAGGAGAAGAAGAATAAGTAGAAAAAAGTTGACCTGCAGTTAAAATTCAGTGCTATCAGATTCATTTTTCTAAAATATGTTGTCATCACGGGACCCAGGCTGCAATATCCTCAGAGTCACAACATGCTGCACTGCTTTCCTAAACCAGGGGTAGAAAAGTGCATAGATCACAGGGTTTAGAGTGGAGTTAAAATAGAAAAGGAAAAGGATAAGAATATAAAATGTATTGGAGCCGCTCAACAAAACATCCCCTACAAGCGAAACACAGTAATATGGGACGAAACATATCAGAAACACAACTACCAGGACGCCCAGAGTCCTGGCAGCTTTTAACTCAGATTTCCTCACTGAAAGCTGCACGTTTACAGCCGTAACGTGAGAGCGCACGGCCCGAGCCTGAGACACAGCCACCACAAACACTCTCATGTACAGGACTACGATGACTGTGACTGGAAGTATAAAGCTCACAACGATGTCAATGGTTCCTGGAATATAGTCTATATTAATCTGGCATTCTCCCTGGCAGGAATTATATCTCCCTGGTTTTTTAAAGTCATCTATTACAAGGAGGGTGCCAAAGCAAACCGAGCAGAACCAACACAGACAGACACAGAATTTGACTCTGTTTTCATTCACTCTGGATGAGTAATGCAGGGGGTCACAAATGGCCACGTAGCGATCCACTGATATGAGCACCATGTCTCCAACGGAGGCCGAAGTGATGACGAAGGACAAAGAACTGTACAGAGAACACAGAAAGTCACCAAGAAACCAGCAGGCCGTGTTTCTGAGGATTTCTACGGGCATCAGCAGGAGACCCATGAGAAAGTCTGACACGGCCAGAGAGAGGAGGATGATGTTAGTGGGTGTGTGGAGCTTCCTGGAAAGAGACAGAAAAGCAACAAACCCTCTTATTGCATTTGCAAAATATTAGAAAACTTGTTTAAAGTAGAATTAATCATTCACTCTTGTATATATCCTTTAGTCAATTAGAGAATAATAGATAAGTACACATAACTCTTTTTCTGTTAATTTAAAATTGTAATGTTCACATTAGCAGCAGTTCATTCGTTGTGTACTATGATTTAAACATCAATCAACAGTGCCAGTAAAATGAAGAGCATTCACAATATATAAACAGAAGTCAGTGTCTGCCTGTAGTGGGAGACTGAAATGACGACCAGCAGGTTCAGAACCACCGTGAGCACAGAGATGAAGGACGGCAGGATGTGAAGCAGCACAACATCAGCCCAAAGAGGTGCAGGCTTTCTGCAGGAGCTGTTGGAGAGATGAGGAAAACAGAGCTCTGTTGTTTCCCAGATCTCCATCTTCAGAGAGCTGAAGCCCCGACTGCTCTCTGAAACAAACATGTTTATATAGCTCGTACTATGACGCTCTTTCTTAATTCTGGCACCTCCTTTTTTTAATTCTCAGGTCGACATTGATGTCCCTTCTCCCTCTCTTTGACAGATTAAAAATTTTTCATGATTTTCCTGCAACCCTGTACCACTGATGTCACTCTTATATTTCTACTTTGATTCTTGACCCACCTGTTATCCTTTGGGTTAATTTGATCCTTGTAAATGAAATAAAAAATAGCTCACTTCTTTTTGTTTCCTGTTTTTGTACTTTTTCTAATTTAATGGTATAATTCAGCCGTCTCAGTTGTGTGAAACTTTTCTGTCTGAGCGTGACCTTTGACCTCTCATCCCCACACCTGTAGGGGTAGGGTGGACACACTGGGAGAGGAGAAGCAATGTTCTTCTGAGACGTTTCCCATACCATAGACATGAATCCATGCGTCTGTGTGTGTTTGGATGCACTACTACAGAGTAGCAAAATGCTTCGAGGCCCCACCAGATATGCTGTCAGCCATTTTGACAACATCAAGTCCTCATCTGAGCTCTTCAGAACACCACTGATTTAAAATATTGTATTTGGGATGCTCAGACTGGAGGGGCAACATTTGCAGCCACCACTTCTAAGTAAATATCTTCATGAGAGGAAAGGGCCGTTGACCAACCTCAATCAGGATGGGTCATTCTGTGGGAGCCATGAATGAGGACACAAAACACTATCTGTAAAAGTCAAAGTTTGACCTGATGGTGGCGCCACAGGAGAGTCCCAAATGTCCTAAATCGTCTATAGACTCCATGTTTTTAACACTATAACGCCTTATGTATCACATTCGAGACACACGTTTTCTGAAATCTTCTAAATCTGAGACCTTTTGCATCATTTAATAGAAAAACCTTGCTCAAAACCCTGTTGTGGCCAACCAGATATCCCTGAAAACAGCAGACGGAAAACTGCACTGCAATAATTTTTTGTTATCACAAGGTAATGAATGATGAATATCCAAACTTTATTTCTGCTCTATTCATATCATGTAAAAGATAAAAACTTAAATGTAAGAAATACATTTTTAATATTGAACATTATATGTTTATATCAGTTTATATTATATTCAATATTTTTACTTGGATCAGGCTATAAAGGATTAAAATCAGTGTCTGAGAGGGACAAAAGTGGAGTTCACTGATCAGATTTATCATTTGGAGCATTTGCAGCTGTAACTGGCCCAACCTGAACATCAATAATGAGGCTTCACATAAATTCCGACCAACACTTTTTCACTAAATAGACTTAACATGATTGTGTCGCAGCACATGATTAATAAAAACATGACTTAACAGATGAGGTTTTTGGAAAATAATGATCACGTGCTTAAACATGCTGACTGTTTACATGATTACGCCTGCTATGTCAGATAGAAGAGTCACAACAGCATTTTTTAGGTTTATTTAAACCTTAACCCTTCCAACATTGGTGACTAAATTTGAAGTAGGTTTCAATTTCTATCTACAGTATGTGTGTCTGATGGGAGCCAGGCTTCAATATCTGAAGACTTAATGTTAATTTAACTGCTTTTCTGAACCAGGGATAGAACAGTGTATAAATCAATGGGTTCAGGCACGAGTTCAAATAGAACAGATCATTCACAAATGATACAAAATAGCTATTAGATAAATCAGATCCCACAAGAGAAGCACAGTAATATGGACAGAAACACATTAGAAAGGCAATTATAAGAACACCAAGAGTTCTGGCTGCTTTCAACTCAGATTTTCTTGATTGTATAGTGACTGAAAGCTGGACTTTGGCAGCTCCAACATGAGAGCGCATGGCACGAGCCTGAGAAACAGCCACCACAAATACTTTCAGATACAAAACTGAGATGACTGTAACTGGAAGTATGAATGTTAAGAAAAGGTCCAAGGTTCCTATAATGTCATCTATGTAAAGTATACATTCTACAAAACAGAAATTGTGTTTACCTAACTGAGTTAGGTCATCTTTTACAAATAAAATGTTGTAGAGGATAGAGCAGAGCCAACACAGACACACACACACTTTAACTCTTTTCTCTG